CGCGCGTGGCCCTCTTCCCCCCCGGGTTGTGGCGGCCCCACTCAGCTGCCGAGCAGGGAGCCAAGCGCCGGGCCGAATCAGCCCAGGATTTACCAGCCTGCCCGCGCACCTTGTGGCATTGTAACTGCCAAGCCGCGGTGCTGCTGCAGCGTTAACCAGGGGTCTCCAGCAACGACCAAGAGCACATCTCGCATCGCTCTGGCAGAGTCCGAGTCATGCCCATGTGGGGCTCACCGCCACACTGAGGGGTCCCCCCCAACCCCACAGCACAGGATGGCGGGGTCCGGATGCTGAAGTGGGGAGGACACCAGCTGGAAGCACACCATGGTCACCATCTCCATCAGTTCACATCTTCCTCCGCAGCCAGCCGTACTGGCCAGCCTTCCACAGCTGGCTCTAGCTGACAGCTGCCCGTTGGTCCCACCCTGCCACGTAAATTGGGTGCCAGCAGCTCTGAGCCCCTGCCAGTCGCAACCTCCTCCAACCGCGGCTGATGGCTGCAGAGCCTGGAGCACGCCCCCCCGCCCTGAGCACCCACTGCTGCGATGGGTGGCACTGTGGGACGAGGCCACCCCACCCCACCCGATGCAGCTCAGCTGTCACCCATGGGGACAAGGGACACACTGCCATGTCCCCTCTCAGCTCCAGCGGTGCAAGGCAATGCCCAGCTGCTGGCACAGGGTGCTGCACCGAGCCGTGCCAAGCCGTGCCGAGCGGCGCCACCGCACAATCCCGCCATTGTCCTGGCTGCCGCTCTGCCTCCACCAGCTCCCACCATCTGCAACTGCCCGGCACTACCCTCCAGCCCCCCAGGGCTGTGCTCCTCCACAGTGGCAGGCACCAGGCACCATTGCCATGCCAGGTGGGATGGGTCTGTCCCCATGCTGTCTCCTCTCGAGGGACCCCAGAACCTGGTTGCTGTGGGGTGCCTGGCTAATTTGCACAAAGGGAATGTCTCCCCCACCCCAACACTGCAGGACCACCCAGCACAGCAGACTTCTCAGCTGCTCCTCCCCAGCCTCTGACCAGCCGGATTGCTAATTGCAGCGGGGGGAGGAATTAATGATCTTAATCCCTTCTTTATGATTGACCCGAGTAAAGACTGCGAGGGCCCCCCCGTCCCGTTTCTGCCCCTTTTCTGGCCCCCATGCCCTGGGGAAGGTGCCGGGCAGCGTCATCTGGGTCCCTGTCAGAAGGTGCTTAGTCCCGGACGTGGCATTAAGGGGCACGTGATGGGCTCCCTCGCCTGGGTCTTTGCACTGGGCAGCTTAGCAGACTGGAGGAACGCCAGGGTTCAAGGGGACACCACCAAGGTCAGGAGGCCCCAACCCACACCCAGGGGGTTCCCAGCCCTTTGCAGGACCCTGGTCCCCCACTGCAACCCCCCTGCCAGGTACAGGCTGAGCCCACAGGGTCTGAAAGCTGGGTGCCCTGGGGGCTCAAGTGACCAGTTCGCTACAGCACCCAGGCGAGGCTATCACTTGGGTGTCACCCACTTCACCCATACCCACTTCCACCACCCCAAACACCTGACCCCCGCCAGCCCAAGATGCTCGGCTGGGGCGAGGCAGCAGCCCTCCCATAGTCCAGGCAGGGAGAAAGGGAGCTCTCCTCCGGGGCTTCCCCCGGAGCTGAGCCCAGCACCACCCCGTATCCCCCCTTCACTCTGCCCCGGGGCTCCCTGCAGCCCAGCACACAGGCTGACCTTGGGGACCGCGCTACAATAGTCCTAACATCTTCAAAAAATATAAAGGTTGCAAAAGGATCTCTGGTGGTCCAGCACCCAGAGGAACCATCAGCAGCTGATGGACTGTCTCCCTGATTGCGGGCACCATTTACTGTCAGAGGGGAGCAGAAGAGTAGCTTCGTTTCTCGTAAAAAAATGACAAGCTGCGATTTCCAGCCCGCTCCCCTGTGTTATTTCACTGCATCGCTGGAAAGCCATCAGCTCCTGCCGACGCAAAAAGTCTCGTCTTCGAGAAAGAACTTCTGCTTTCCTTTGATTTTAAATAAATCAACCTCCTCCCGGAAAAGCTGCCGGTCGGTCAGCCATGCACAGACACAGCCGTAAAGGGAGAAGAAAGCAGCAAAGCCGAAACCGAGCTGCTCCCGGGCTCCGGAGACAAAGGGAGAAAATAAAAGTTCAGCTTTTTTCTAATCCCCGGGCGCTGGGTGGGCACCAGGGGCAGCGGCTTTGTCTGCCTGGAGCAGACAGAGGATGAGGACGGAAGGGACCCCGGCATCTTTTCAGCCTCAAGAAAGGCGGTAATTGTCCCCTCCACCGGGTTTTTGTCCCCGCTTCCTCCCCCTCGCCATGCAGCCGCCTGCCCAGCACAGCCCCCACCTCCTTAGCAAAGCCCTGGTGATGGATGGATGAACAGACAGACAGATGGACAGACTCAGCCATGCCATGGGTAGACCTAAGGAGGGCACCCACCACCGGCACTTGCCCCACTCCAAGGCATCCCAGGAAGGGTGTAGGTAGGTACCTTCCCAGATGGAGGTACCACTCACAGCTCCAGAGAGGGCCCAGAGGTGGGCCCCATGCTCCTCAACCACCCTGGCCAACAGCCGTGAACAGGACCTCGGGATGGACAGG